GCGCTTCCCTGTATCCAGAACCCCTCTCCCTCCCACTCTTCTAGCAACCTCTGCTGACCTCTGGGGCCTGCAGCAGACCCCACCCCGCTCTTTGTCTCCACTTTCTTTCTCTTCTGCTCATCACTCATGGGACGATCACTGGGTGCCGATGGGCTTTGGGGACACCAGCCTGACTGCTAAAACACTTTGCCCTGGTTTATCTGATGATGAAGCCACCACACCCCACTCACTCTGCTGGCCTGTGTACCCACAGGCGACACTAGTGCCTCCCTGCCTCTGAATGCTCAGTGCTCCCAGTGTGGGGTGGGCACAGGAAGCTCAGCAGGTTGAGGGGCTGGAACTGTTTTTTTCTTGCAGACAAAGACCTTCGGACCAAGGGCTTCAGCCTGGAGTCGTGCCGCAGCATGGTGAACCTCATGGACGTATCCTTCAGTCCGTCTGCTGTTGTTTGGAGTCAGGGAATATGGGCACCAGAAAGTGGCTGGGTGAACTGTCCCAGGAATGCCCAGAGAATAGACAAAGCTAGAGGGTATGTGGACACCCCAGTGCCCATGTTCAAAGCCTTCCTGGGAGGGGGAGACCGAGGCACAGTCTTGAGTCAGGTGGAAGCTGGAGCAAAGCCTGGGTCCACAGCTGACCCTAAGGCCGAGCTTTTTCTGCACCCTTCCCCGCCCAGTTGAACACAGCCAGCCTGGTTATGGCTCCCCCCAGTCACCTTGCCTTCTCTTGGCCAGTCTCCCCTTCCCCCAGTGTCCCCTCCCATGCCAGCTCTAAGCTGTGGAGCTGCCTTCTTAACAACCACCCAGCGCGACGGCAACGGGAAGCTGGGCCTGGTGGAGTTCAACATCCTGTGGAACCGCATCCGGAACTACCTGGTACGTGCCCCCGGCAGGTCCTCGCCTTCCCCTTGCAGCCCCGGTCACTGCAGGAGCAGGCCAGGGGACAGCCCTCCACGGAGGCTCTGCCACTGCCAGCTCTTTCCCACCCCTGAGCCCACATGTCCCAGCAGCCCACCCTTGTGGGCTCCTCCCCTCCCTGTCCCCTTCAGCAACCCCGGGGGTGGGCCGGAAGAGCCGGGTGACTCACTGGTCCCCACCCTCTGCCCCCACCACAGTCCATCTTCCGGAAGTTTGACCTGGACAAGTCGGGCAGTATGAGTGCCTACGAGATGCGGATGGCCATCGAGTCTGCAGGTGAGGCCCAGGGCAGCCCCTACCCCTGGCCCTCCTCCCTGGGGTGGTGACACAGAGCTGTGGGGATGTGGTCCCAGCCATCTTTGGCCTTTCCCCCGTGGTTTCTAAGTACGTTATCAGCATATCTGTCCTTTCTTCCTCACTGCAGCCAAGAAAGGACAGAGTCTCTTATTACCCCTGTTGGGCATGTGAGGAAAGTGAGGCTCCAAAGGAAAAGTGACCGGCCTTAGGACACAGTGCCAGGGAGGGCACAGCCAGGCTTCAGGCCTCCTGTGAGAGCTGCCTGAGGACGAGGCCAGGGCATCAGAACCACCAGACCACACCCCTCTTTGGCCAACTCCTGATTCTCTGGCCTGTCCGGGGCTGGGCGTGCCCCCTGAGACTGGTCCTTACTTGCCCAGCCCCTCCCAGTCCCTGGCCCTGCCCAGAGGTCCTTGTGCCCCTTGTCCCTGAGAAGAGAAGGCCCACCCTTCCCTGACTCCTGGCTGCGCCTCCCCGGCCCTCACCAGCTTCTCTCCACAGGCTTCAAGCTCAACAAAAAACTGTACGAGCTCATCATCACCCGGTACTCCGAGCCTGACCTGGCCGTGGACTTTGACAACTTCGTGTGCTGCCTGGTGCGACTGGAGACCATGTTCCGTGAGTGTCCCAACAGGCTCCTCCCTCCAGCTGTGTCCCAAATGCGTCCCTTGTGAGCTGGTGGGAACGGATGATGGCCGGTGCCAGCAGTACCGTCGCAGGAGCTGGAGGCTGAGATCTGGGGCCCACAAGGGCCCTGTATTTGGTCACCCAGAGGCTGAGTGCTGGAGAGCAGGGAGGGAGGGCAGGAAGAGCCCCTTCCTACTTCAAGGGGTGACAGCTTGGTGCGTTAGGGGGAGTGGGGGTCAGGCAGGCTTGGCTGTGCACAAAGTTCTCAGCCCCATGTCATCTTTTCTTGACACACAGGGTTTTTCAAAACTCTGGACACAGATCTGGATGGAGTCGTGACCTTTGACCTGTTTAAGGTGGGACTCTCCCTGGGTCGGGGGGGAAGGGTTGGTGGCAGTGGTTTTCTTTCCTGACCCGTGTTCTCCTGTCCCTTCCTGGGCCTTGGAGCCAGCCTTCAAGAAGGGGCAGCCTGAGTCCTGGGAGCTGGGGTGGGGGTGTCTGGATTCTGGGGCAGGAGCCCCGGAGGCTTTGCCTCAGTGGGACCAACAGCTCTATCTCCCAGAGATAGAGGAAGTGAGGAAACAGTTCCCCAGGAGCGAACCTCAGAAGTGGTAAAGAAATGGCTTCTGAGCCATGGGGTCTGGGCATGGTCATAGGGGTCCAGGTAAGGAGGGAAACTCAGGCAGCCGATTCCACAGCCCTGGCCCAACGGCCTTCCCTCCTTCTGCAGTGGTTACAGCTGACCATGTTTGCATGAGGCGGGGGCCCAGCACCCTGCTGCTCCCTTCTACCCTCGTCTGTCAAGCCGCGTCTTCCAGGCCGAGTCTTCCCACCATGCCACAGCAGGTCACGCCAGCCGCACATGCCTTCCTTGGAGCAAGAAGGCGCCTTGGTCCTCTTTGCCCGCTCCTCCCAGCCTCCACTGCTCACCAGCTCTGGGCAGAGCTGTGTGGCCCTCCCGCTGTCCCCAGCCAGGGGCTCACAATGGACTCCCCTGGGCCCGCCGTTTCCCATGGCCAAGCCAGGAGGGCAGCTTTCTGCTTATTCCTGCCTCAGGGCTGGGCGGCCAGGGAGCCAGGATCCCAGCCCCACTCCTCCAGCATCCTCATGTGTCCCCCCACCCGCCTGGCCTCACCTGCTGACTTTATAACCACTATCTCTGCGACCTGCGCCGCAGGTGTCAGGCATGCAGGTCCCCTTCCTGCTGGGGGAGCCCCTGGGCTGGGATCTCCTGTGCCTTCTGTGCAGAAGCCAATGCCTGCAGCCCACGCCTCCCAGCCCTGCCCACCAGGAGCCAGCCAGCCTGGAGGGTGGTCGGGCCTCCCCCTCCTCCTGTCCTTTTTTTATATTGACAATTTTAAAGGGGACTCTTCAGGGACTGGGGGATGGGTTATGTGATACAGAGGCACTGGGCGTGGGGTAGGGAGGTCCCATGTTTCCACACAGAGAAACCCCAAATAATAAAGGAAAAGGCCCCACATTTGTCTCTGGAGTGTGTTTCTCCCCAGTCTGCTGCCGGGAGGGCGGCAGGAAGCCTTAGCAGGGGGACAGCTCCTGGCCTCAAGCTCACCTGTTGCTGGAGTGAGCGCAGGGCATCCGAGTGGGGTCACCTATGGCCCTGGGAGGCCAGGGAGGATGAGGCCCAGGGCCTGGCACAGGGACAGGGCTGCACTGTGAAGTCCGGAGGCCTGACCCTTGCCTTACCTTCATAAATCCACCAGGCCAGTTTCCCGCTGAAACCCAAACCCATACTTAGCACAAACCGCACCCCCCAGGGAGCTGCACAGAGCCTCCTTCAGGTCCTCTGGGGTTGGGGTGGGTCTCTCCTGTGACCCACACACCTGTAGCTTATATAAGCTGCTCCAGCGCCTCTGGGATGCTGCTGTTCTTCCCAGAGTTAAGAGTGGGGAGAGGGGACAGCCACCAACTAGCACTGACTGCAGGGTACAGACAGAGACTGCCCCAGGGCGCAGGGTGAGGGAGCAAGAAGTCGGGCTGCCTCCAGCTACTGTGGGGTAGAGAGGAAGAGGAGGCCTTTGCAGGTGTCACCTGCTTCTTGACTGCTCCCAGGCCAGGTCCTCCCTGGATATCTATCCTCATTACTGAGATGCGGAGGCTGCCGAGGTGGGAGGTCTCTGGGCCCATCCTGCTCAGCCCTCCATGGTTCTCTGTGTTGGGCTTCACTTGTTATAGGGGTTGCGACACTGTGGTTCTGGGTCATCTGGGGACCTAACTTCAGAGACCCCAGGTTTGAGGCTGAGACTGCGGCTTCCTCTTGACTCTCCTATTTGGGCTTTATTTATTTTATTTTTATTTTATTTTTTTGGTACTGGGGATGGAACCCCAGCCCTTTTTATTCTTTATTTTGAGACAGGGTCTCACTGAGTTGCCCAGGCTGCCCTCGAGTTTACAATCCTCCTGGTTCAGCCTCCGGAGTCTCTGGGACTATAGGCATTCGCCACTGCAGCCAGCTCTATTGGGGCATTTTTTAAAAAATATTTACTTTTTAGTTGTAGTTGGACGCGATACCTTTTTTATTTATTTATTTACGTGGTGTTGAGGATCGAACCCAGGGCCCTGCACATGCTAGGTGAGCGCTCTACCGCTGAGCCCCAGCCCCAGCCTGGACATCAGCTGTGCAGCCAACTCCCTGACTCTCATGGAGTGGGGGAAGGGCGAGCAGCCATAATTACTGTCACCCCCTTATTTGTGACTCTGATCTACAAAGCACTCACAGGTCCGACCGTGGTTTGAAACACAGTGACGAGACCTTGGTCCCACGCATTTTGAGGCCAGAGTCAGGGCTGCTCAAGCCTCATGACGGCCTCCAGAAGCGAGGGTGCAGGTGGGCAGGGAGGGAGGGGCAGGGCGGCTGGGCCTGCGGGTTTGGCTGTGGCTGGGAGGCAGCTTTCTGGGACTCCTCACCTGTCTAACTCAGAAGGTGAGAGATGGAGGGAGGCAGGAAGAAAGGCCCAGGGGCGGGGAGCCCGAAGATGTGGGGACACTCAAGACTTCCAGTGAGGTGTAACCAGACTCCTCTGAGCTGCGGGACACAGGGCGGTCTTGGTCCTCACCCCTGGTCCTCCGCCTCCAAAGCCCCTCCCCTGTCCCTTTACATAAGGCCTGGGGCAGGCTGGGCCTCGGGTCAGGCCCACGGCCATGGCCTTCACCGACCTGCTGGACACCCTGGGCGGGGTGGGCCGCTTCCAGCTCATCTACACGGCCCTGCTGCTGCTGCCCTGTGGCCTGCTGGCCTGCCACAACTTCCTCCAGAACTTCACGGCTGCTGCGGTCCCCCATCACTGCCAGCTTCCCGCCAACCACACAGAGGCCACCACCAACGACTCGGGGGCCTGGCTGAGGGCCACCATACCCCTTGACCAGCATGGGGTCCCTGAGCCATGCCAGCGCTTCACAGAGCCTCAGTGGGCCCTTCTGAGCCCCAACACTTCGGTCTATGGGGTGGCCACCGAGGACTGCAAGGACGGCTGGGTCTATGACCGCAGCGTTTTCCCGTCCACCATCGTGATGGAGGTCAGAGGGAGCCGTTTGGGGCGGGGGGCTGCTACCTAAGTCCAGGGCTCAGTGTCCCACTCTCCTTGCAGTGGGATCTGGTGTGTGAGGCCCGCACCCTCCGTGACCTGGCTCAGTCCATCTACATGGCCGGGGTGCTGCTGGGGGCCGCCGTGTTTGGCAGCCTGGCAGACAGGTGAGCTTCTGGTGTGAGTGTCCCTACAACCAGTGACGGTCTCTGTGTTTTTTTCTTTTTCTCCCCCCCCCCCCCAGTATCAGGATTGAACCCAGGGTCACTTAACCAATTAGTCATATCCCCAGCTCCTTTTAAAATATATTATTTAGAAATGATCTCGCTGAGTTGCTTAGGGTCTCCCTGCTGAGGCTGGTTTTGAACTCTTGATCCTCCTGCCTTAGCCTCCAGAGTCACTGGGATAACAGGCGTGTGCCATGGTGCCCAGCTATGCTAACATTTTTTGGTAAAAGTTTACTCATATTTTCAATGGATAATGTATAAGTGCATTTACATCCTTCAAAATCCCAAAAGATACAAAAGAGCATGCAGAAAGAAAGTTTTCTCATCTCGCCCCATCGCTCCCTCCATGGGGCAGCCCAATTTCTACATCTCCAACTAGAGAGATCTTTATTTCTGTGTGTGTGTGTGTGTGTGTGTGTGTGTTGTGCTGGTGTTTGAACCCAGGGCCTCACACATGCCAGGCAAGCACTCTACCACTGAGCTACAACCCCAGCCCCTATTTTCATTTCTAAATTTTTCATTAAGTTTTATAATTTGGGAGCTGGGGTTGTGGCTCAGTGGAGGAGCACTTGCCTAGAATTCGTGAGGCACTGGGTTCCATTTTCAGCACCACATAAACAAAATAAAGGTCCATTGACAATAAAAAAAACATTTTAAAAAAGTTTTATGTTTTTTGATGCACACATGTACATAGCTATGGGTTACAAGGTGCTGTTCAGGGCAAGTATATAATGTGTAATGATCAAATCAGGGTAGTCGGTGTATCTATCACCTTAAACATTTACCACTTGTTTGTGGTGAGAACTTTCAAAATTCCCTTTTCTGGCCATCCTTCCTCGAGACATTTTGAGGTTTTATGCAGTCGGTCAAATCAGTATATGTGCTTGCCCCTTCCTTTTCATGCTGTGTAAGGATGGAACTCAGGCCCCAGCACATGCTGGGCGAGCCGCACCCCCAGCCTGCTCCCCCAACCCGCGCAAATGCTGGGACACTGCACACAGGCTCTAGCCCCCCACTTTGTCTTCACTTTGAAGGCTTCTCCATATTCCTTTGGAAAAGCTGTGCTGTCCTCTGTAATGTCCACACAGCATCCTGTGTACAAATGAGCCAGAACTCACCCCCATGGAAAGACTATGAGACAGAGCAGGGCCCTGGCTTTGAAGAAGTCCAGCTCCTTCACCTCCTCTTCCCTCCCCTGCCCCTCTTCCCTCCGTTCAGGTTGGTGGGGAGGCCCTCCCAGACTCCAGAGCTCATCCCCTCAACCCCTCATCACACCTGGTCTCTCTACATGTGAACTTGTATCTTATCTGGAGGGCCTCCATGTCTCCAGCCCTCAGCTCAGGCCTGTGCCTTAGAGATGCTCAATGAGCAATTGTAGAAGAAGGAAGGAAGGAAGGAAGGAAGGAAGGACGGAAGGAAGGAAGGAAGGAAGGAAGGGAGTGTGCGTGTCATGGGTGTGTGGGGAAGAAACGCTGTCCACACCTTCTTGGTCTGCTGCCCTTCTGGACAAGTAGGGCTAGCACTCTGGCCCTGGGCCCTCGTATGCAATGGGGTGACATAACCCTGCCACCCTGGCCTTGGACTCCTCCTGCCTCCTATAGCAATCAGCTCCCCTGAAGACTCCATGCTGGGTCCTGCCCCCACAGCCTGAGTCTGGCCAGGGCTCATCTCCCTGTGATTCTGGTCAGAGGCCTCCTTCCAGCCAGAGCAACACCCAGGGGACCCCTCTCCCTACCCACCACACCTCCCTCTGGGTCTCTGCAGATCCTCTGCCTTTCCCGGGCCTGGAATAAGTCTCTTCATCTCCAATTTTCTTCCACATGGTGCCCCTCCCGCCACCGGTGCCTGGGTCCCAGCTGTTGCCCTTCCATTTTGAGGGGTGGGTTTCACGGCACCCCAGCTTCCCTTTGGCTGATTTCCCCTTACCAGAGTGGAAGGCCTGGGCACTGACTGTCGGGGATGCCACTGCTGCTCCTGAAGCCTAACGCTTTGTCCATTCCCTGGGCTCAGGCTGGGCCGCAAGGTCCCCCTGGTCTGGTCATACCTGCAGCTGGCAGTGTCAGGGGCCGCCACGGCGTACATCGACTCCTTCAGCGCCTACTGCGTCTTCCGGTTCCTGATGGGCATGACCTTCTCTGGCATCATCCTCAATTCGCTCTCGCTGGGTGAGTTCAGCCGCGGAGCAGCCTGGACGGCTGGGGCTAGAGGAGAAGGGGAAATGGCAGCCCCATCTTTCTTATTTCCTTTGGCTGGAGTTCTCCTCCAGGGGCCTCAGCTCAGAACACCACCAGGTTCTAGGCCTAGGAGACGGGGCTTGCAGACCTTGGACCTGCCCGCAGCCAGGGTGGATCCTGGCAGCTTTGTCCTTGGTCTGGGGTCTCATTTCCTCCTCTGTGAACCGAGAGGGTCTGTTTATTTCATTTGTGAGTTAATCGACAATAACCACTTACTAAGTGTCCATTGCATACCAGGCTTAGTGTGGGACACAGAGGTGACTGGGACACAGAGGGCAGTGGGACAGGATGGTCTCCAGAGCTGCAGACCGCCCTGAAATTATGCGGCCCTTATAAGGGTGGGGTTTACCCGGGCTGCTGGTGGCTTCTCTCAGCTGAGGCAAAAGGATGGCAAGTTTGAGGCCAGCCTGGGAATCCCACCTCAAAATAAAAAATAAAAAGGGCTGGGGATGTAGCTCAGTGGTGGGGCTGTTCCTGGGTTCACTTCTCAGTACTGGAAAAACAAACACTTGTGGTTTCTTAGCTCCATGGTGGAGATCTGGCTTGTTGGATGCCAGGGAGGAGTGTTACCTCCCAAGTGACAAGTGGCAGGATCAGTCCTCAGCGCAGGCTGGGATTTCCTGGGTGGTCTTGGTGGAGAGGTTCATGGGATAGTCGGAAGCCCATCCTGAACACAGGCTGACATGGGCTTGTGCTTCACTTAAATTCCTTACCTTGCTCAGAAACTGCCACCACCCTCAGCCATCCAATGACAGGATAGGATTTTAATTTCAGGGATGGAGAAGAAGTTTGGGGGTTGGAAGACCAGGACACACAAAATGGGATCTCAGCAAAGCCCCACAATACCTACATTCACACGCACACACATACACACACATACATGTATCAGACACACGTGCACACATCAGACACCGCTGGCGGCTGGGCACTCTGTCCTTGGGCAGCTTAGTCTGCAAGGAAGTCTTTTTTGAGACTCAGTTGGGTGCTCCAGAGCCTCCTCAACAGGTCACACCTTGCCCCTGGATTGTGCCACAAAAGTGTGATGACTCTAACATCTGCCCCTGGATCATGCCACAAAAGTGTGAGGACCCTCACGTCTCTTTCTATCTCCCCTCTTTGTTATTATGCACACCATTCAGCCCTTTTTACTTTTTCCAGTGCCGAGGGTGGAACTCAGCTCCACCCCAGCCCCTGTTCTGCATCTTGAGTCTTTCACTTAGCAATGCCATCACTGGCTCATTTGTTGATGCCTCCCGGGGGACCCCATGGCCACTTGAAGGACTTTGGCTTTAATTCCAAATGAGGCAGGAGGCCCTGGAGGATTCTGTGCTGAGTGCAGCCCTGACCTGATTTAGTGTTTGAGGTTTGACAGGATCCCTCTGGCAGATGCCATTTGGCACCAGAACAGAAGCAGGGAGTCCAGAGAAGAGGGCATTGCCCTCATCCCACCAAGAGCCAAGGTTGAACTGGGCCAGAGGGTGGCAGCAGAGCAGATGAGAAGAGCAGAAGGTGGCTAAGCTCTGAAGGCAGAAACATGATTTGCTTTGTGGGTGGATTGCACTAACGGGCTCATTGCTCCCTGGAAAGAAGTACCCTCATTAATTTGTCGTGGATGCCTTGGAAGGATGTATCGCGATTTATTTAACAGTCCCACAGACAAGTGGCAGGCTCAGGTTTAGGTTTCATCCAATCTTTTCTGCCTATAGAAATTTGCAATTTGTCTTCACATGAAGTTAAGCATCTATTTGGAACCCAGGGCTTCCTGGAAGGTAGGCACACGCTCTACCACTGAGCTATGCCCCCAGCTGGGTCGACCATGTTTTGATAGCATCATGAACCACTCTATTTCCTCTGTACCAGCCATTCACATCCCTTGCCCATTTCCCTTTAGGCTTGCTGGTAATTTTCCTATTGATTTGTAAGAACACTTCCAATATTAGAGAAACGGCCTCTTAACTGTTGAGTTGCAAATATTTTTGACTTTTTTTTTTTTTTGCCAATGCTATGACTTTGCTTATTGTGTTTTATGTTGTTTATTTCTATTTAGACATTTCTTTTTTTATGAATTCAGATTTGTTTAACCTTAGCCTTCATTTGATTCCTTCTGATTGTGAGTTTCTCAGAATTTTGAGATTTTATATATAAAAAATCTAACCATGAGTTCTAGCATTCTTGTGGTTTTATAGTTTACATTTAGTAATTTGATCCCACCAGTCGGGACACTTTGGCCTGAGTCTCAATGGGTCTCCGCATGAGTTTAAATCGCCATCAAGAGGCCGGGGAGTTAAGCAGCTCCGTGGGAAGGCAGGCTCGCTGAGCGTACTGCCATTTCCTCTGCAGTTGTGGAGTGGATGCCCACCCGGGGCCGGACTGTGGCGGGCATCTTGCTGGGCTTCTCCTTCACCGTGGGTCAGCTCATCCTGGCTGGCGTGGCCTACCTGATCCGCCCCTGGCGGTGGCTACAGTTTGCGGTCTCAGCTCCCTTCCTGATCTTCCTCCTGTATTCTTGGTATGTCCGGCAGCAGTGAGGAGGAGGGGAGAGTGCGCCCGGGGGACGGGACACTCACCTGGCCCCGCAAGAGGTCGGGATGGGAGAGGCTGGGATTTGCTGGACCTGGTGGGGACACAAGGGACAGAAAGTGCTCAGGGGGACCACACACTCCTGAGTACTCTCAGGCGGCTTTCAGAAGGTCCAGTAAAACCCCTTCTGTTAGCATGAGGCTCTGGGACATGTCAATCATTTTGTCTTTCAACTCCTCTGTGCCTCACAACAGCCCCATGACATTTTATAAGAGGGAGGCTAAAGCACAGCCCAGAGAGGGATCATGATTTAGTAAAGGCCACACAGCTAGGGATCAGAAACAGATTCAGAGTCAGGTGTGGTGGTCACAGCTCAGGAAGCTGAGGCAGGAGGATCACAAGTTCAAAGCCAGCCTCACTAACTTAGCGAAGACCTAAGCAATTTAGCAAGACCTTCTCAAAATAAAAAATAAAATGAATTTGTGATGTGGCTCAGTGGCTAAGCACCCCTGGGTTCAATCTCTGAGGCTCCCCCCCCCCAAAAAAAAAAAAAAAGACAGAGAGAGATTGAATACTGAGTCCACTGTAGTCTCTAAGGACCCTTCAGTGACTCTCTTTATTACAAAAAAGGGAAGGTGACGTGTCCTGCCGTCTTCTTGGTTCTGAGACAAGGGACCTTGCACCCTTTTTTTAGGATCTGAGAGAAGGTGGATGTGGGTGTAACTGGGTTTGGGAAATGGAATGAGCTCCACCCAGCCCTGGTCCTTCTGCATCCTTCTCTCCCTCCCAGGTGGCTGCCAGAGTCATCTCGATGGCTCCTCCTTCACGGCAAGTCCCAACAAGCCCTGCGGAACCTGCAGAAGGTGGCCGCCATGAATGGGAGAAGGGCCGAAGGGGAAAGGCTGACCAAAGAGGTGAGTGGGGAGGAGGGAGCAGGGCTGGGAATGACCTTCCAACTTGAGGGCCACCTCGGGGTTCCACAAGCTCTGCCACCTTCCCAGGACTCGGCTGCCACCCAGGCGGAGAGTTCTGGTGTAGGAAAGATGTCCTTTAAGCACTGAACGGCTGTGTGATCTGGGGCGAATGATTTAGCTGCTTCTCTCATTGGTCTATCCACCTGTGCAGTAAGGAAATAACCTTCACGTTGACCTCCAGTCAAAATTTAATAAAAGCAAACAACTTAAGATAGCAATCATAAAATAAAATTGTTGGAGAATCGATATCAAGAGCACCATTTATTACACATTCCATTCTTTATAAGATAGTTATCATTCATTAACAATACTGGCTGTTTATTAAGCCCTGTGTGAGGAACTATGCTAACAGCTTCTCATACGTCATCTCACTTAAGGCCTCATTGGTGCCAATGAGGAACTGAAGCTTGTGGGTCAGGTAATCTGCCTAAGACACACAGCAGGAAGTGACTCAGAACCTCTGCTTTCAACCACCGCCTGATACTGTCCCAGGAAAGTGGGGAGCTGAAACTCCAAACCTCAGCTCAGCAAAAGCCATGCAAGAGAACTTCATGATAGGTGAAGTGAGGCGGAAATAAAGTAAAGGAAAAGTGAGGCTTCAGCAAAAAGCACTCTCGAGGGAGAGATGGGCCGTCTCCAAACAGAGAATGGCAAAGGAGACAAAGGTGTCCCCAATTTTATTACTCTTTGATGTTTAGCAGGAAAAGTGGGGACCACCTTCTGTACTCTCTGCTAATCAGGTATTCAACTCCCCCTTCCCGTCGGGTGGTGGAGTTTTTGACCTTAGTCGGTCCTCTCTGGAACTATCACAGTGGCCATCCTTTTGGGGCGACTTCGTCCGCAAGTCAATCCCATGTTAATGGGGACACTGGGGTCAATAGCTGTCAGAAGTTACCTTATTGCGCCTGCATTACTAAAGGACTCTTCCTCCCCAGACACATGGAGACACCTTTAGCCATAATTCCTAGCTTCATGTCAACATCAGAGGACCCTGTCAAGAGTCAGTCCCATGAATCCTTTTCTTTTGACATATTTCCCGATTAGCTCCTTTTGCTTCTGGTTCTTTTCTACAAATTAACTACCACCTTTGCTTTCTTGTCTACTTTGGAAGTAGCTTAAAGAAGGACCCCTAAAGTAATTTAAAGACCACTTAGGACCTTGCCTACACTTGACTGCTCATTGCTAGCTTCTACCTAACAACACTATCTATACCAGGAAAGGTATAGACAGACTCCCAGATCCCAGAGCCAGGAGGGTGGGGCACATGTTGAAACCTGTGCCTCATCTCAAAGCCCTGGAGCCACTATCTTGCCAGGGGTCCCAACAGGTGTGTGGTGGGAGCACACCTGTAATCCTAGCAGCTCAGGAGGCTGAGGCAGGAGGATCACAAGTTCAAAGCCAGCCTCACCAATTTAGTGAGGGCCTAAGCAACTAAACAAGACCTTCTCTCAAAATAAAAAATAAAATTAATTTGGGATGTGGCTCAGTGGCTAAGTGCCCCTGGGTTCAATCTCTGATAACCGCCCCCCCCACACACACACACACAAAATGAAGGTGTTCCCAGCAGGGACAGGAGGCCCTGGATCCTTTGCTGCCACTGATCACACATTCCTCACCCAGGTGGTGAGCTCCTACATCCAGAGCGAGTTTGCAAGCGTCCGCACCTCCAACTCTATCCTGGATCTCTTCCGAACTCCGGCCATCCGCAAGGTCACATGCTGTCTCATGGTGGTCTGGTAGGTGAGGGGCTCATTCCAAGACTTTGACCTGAGGCAGGAACGTGCCTTTTTCTCCCACTGACAAACTCTGTTCTGAAATATTCCCAACACAAAGAGCAGGTGAGCTTTGCAAAGCCAGTCTCATCCCACACGCCTTTCTGATGGAGCTCTCTGCTGGGTGCTAAGATAGAGTGTAGATGAGACATTGTGTTGGTGGAAGGGGGCAGGTCTCCTCTGAGGGTAGGGGTGAGTGCCACTGGAATCTCACAGGCAGCTTTTCCAGAATGGACCTCGCACTATCCCTTTGGGCTCTCTAGGGAGATTCTGGGAGGATTCTAGGGGATTCTGGGGAGAGTCCATTCTGAAAAAACACTTCCAAGTCCAGGAGGGAACAGCTAGAGAAACCATGATGTCCATGCAATATGACAAGTATCCAAACAGCAGTTCTTCTCATGGCTGCAGAGGGCTTCACCCAGCAGGTGGCATTCGAGTGGTGGTTAATCAAGTTTGCCAGGTGGGCAAAAAGAAATTCCAATAGCTACGTTGCCATGAAGATGAGAAATGGATAAGAATATAAAGATGGGCTGGGGAGTAGCTCAACGGTAAGTATGCCCCTGTCTTTAATCCCCAGGACCATCACAAAACAAAACAAAAAATCCACATCTATTATTTGAAATATAGTCCCTTCCATACTCAAAGGAAGGGCATTAAGTTCTACCTCCTGAAGGGTAGCATGTTTGCATCTTTTCTGTAAAATAGGGGTTTCTAAAAATTATTTTAACTTTTTTAAATCATTCTTTTTTAAAATTTTTTTTAGTTGTTGATAGACTTTTATTTTATTTATTTTTATGTGGTGCTGAGAATCGAACCCAGTGCCTCACACATGCCAGGCAAGTGCCACTACCGCTGAGCCCCAGCCCCAGCCCTGTTTTAACTTTTATTTATTTGTTTGTTTGTTTGATTGTGCAGCACTGGGATCAAACCCAGGACCCGGTGTGTGTTAGGCAAGCATGCTACCAGTGAGCCATATCCCCCGTCCAGATTTGTTCAATCATTTACTTAAATAGATTCATATATGTGTCATTTATACCTTGGGTTCTAATTTAGTAACATTACTTATTTTGTTTAATGAATGCTATATTATTTACTCTCCTTCTCTGTTCTGGCTTTGGCCACGGGGAGCTTGTTGTCATAGGCTCCTATGTCCTTCACTTACCTCCATCTCCTTCTGTCTTTATTCTTTTAGCACTGCTTTAACTTCAGTGCCAAGTGGTGCTGACAGGAAACCAAATGCACTCCAGGGTCCATGGATGGGACTCAGGGGAGTGGGTGTTAGGAAGAGATGATGGGCGAAGTCTAGGCTCCAAGACCAAAGTCAGAGACTTATGAGACCAGGAGGGGATTCTAACTCTCCCAGGAGAGGAGTCCTATGTTAACCATCCTGTGTTCCCTGTCCTGGGCCCAGGACAGTGAAATGGTGGAACAGGATCATTCTGCCACCTTTGCCAGGTTCTCCAACTCTGTGGCTTACTACGGCCTGGCAATGGACTTGCAGAAGTTCGGGCTCAGCATCTACCTGGTACAGGCTCTGTTTGGTATCATCGACATCCCAGCCATGCTGGTGGCCACCACCACCATGATTTATGTGGGCCGCCGGGCCACAGTGGCCTCCTTCCTCATCCTGGCTGGGCTCATGGTCATTGCCAACATGTTTGTGCCTGAAGGTAAGCCATTGCTTGTGCCTGTGCTGCCCTCTGGGATACTGCCACACAGGTTCCTGGAGAACTGGGAGCCCCTGGGGTCTTGTGGGCAACACGTACCATGAGAGAACAAGGCTGAGAGGTATTTTTTGGATCTGGGGGAAATGTGACTAAGGATTAATAGAGTTTGTTAAGCACTTAGTGCCTAGTGTCAGTGCAGGAAGAAGATCCACCAAGGTCATGAGTCTGCCCTTGAATCAAGGACAATCTTGACAGCAAGACCAGGCAAATGCATATAAAGCCACTGGAGAGCCAACGTGGTGACTTCCTTATGCCAGTTATGTGTGTGTCCACTCGGAGCAGGCAGCCTGTCCATGGGTTGAAAAGTTAGGACTTGAATCTCAGCCAGCCTGGTCTGGAACAATGGTTCACACAGCTGGCTAAAATTACCTTCACCCAGAGAAAAATCCCAAAGCCCAGGTGCTCCACACCACGCAAAGGGACTCTCAAACCCTCAGTACTTAAAAAGCTGTTCAGTGACTTCAGCAAGAAGCCAGGATTGACTATCTGGGACCTAGAACATGTGCCAAACTATGTGCCCAGGTGTGACCACAGCTTTGCCACCATGGCCTGGGGCAGGTCGTCTAACTTCTCTGGGCTCTGGTTCCTCACCTATAAAATGGACAGGTGTTATCGTTAGTATTTTGGGACATTTTCATCCAATCATTTTTCCTATTTATAGATTTTGTATTCTACATAATTGAGACATCATTTATATATACATATATATGTAATGCAATAATGCAAGTAGGATTATCTATATGTATACATGTGCATTGATAAAGGATATATATATATTATATATATATATATAAAATATCCTTTTCTATTATATATTAAAAACATCCTTTTCCATGTTAGTACAACATTTCATGGGCTTGATTTTTTTTTTATTAGTTTATATTTTATTGAGATTGGTGTTTTTCAACTCTGGCTGCATATTAGAATTAGATATTTTAAAAATATCCAAACTTGAGGCTTTGATATAATGGATGTGGGGCAGGGCCCAGGCGTGGGTGTTTTATGGAATGTCCCCACGGAATTCCAGTGTGCAGCCTGGGCTGCCACCAATCCAAAGGCAGTACCTTAATTTCTTTGACCATTACCCTCATACAGGACATTCAAATTGGGGTTTTGCAATATATATACAACAGTTGAGGACAGGGAGGCTAGGAGATGATAACAGTGACCAAGTCACTCAATTGGGTCAGGGCTGTGGACTAAACTCAGGCCTGACTCCAAAGCTTATCTCCAGTAGATCTTGGTGACAGATACAAACAAGAGAGGAAGGAGAGCCAGGGTGCAGTGGCACATGCCTGTAATCCCTGTAGCTCCAGAGGCTGAGGCAGGAGGATTGTGAGTTCAAAGCCAGCCTCAGCAAATTAGCAAGGACCTAAGCAGCTCAGCCAGACCCTATCTCTAAATAAAAATATAAAAAGGGTCTGGGGATGTGGCTCAGTGTTTAAGCACCCCTGGGTTCAATCCCCAGTACAAAATAGAGAAAGACACATGGGGTGGGGGTGGGGCGCAGAAGTCAGAGAAGGGCAGTTTGGGGACTTCCAGTTGGGCACTGAGGTGATAGAAATACAGGCTCCCTGCCTTGATGCACCTCCCTCAATGGCTGTGTCCCCCTCATCCCTGCTTAGTTCAGGGGCCTGTCACCCTCTGCCTCTTTCCCCTACTCTTGGCATCCCTCCAGCCTCCCACCACATTCCCCTGCCACCCCCTGTTCCCACCCTCAGCTTCCCTTTCCCCCCCCTTAGACATGCAGACCCTGCGCACCGCCCAGGCAGCTCTGGGCAAGGGCTGCCTGGCCAGCTCCTTCATCTGCGTGTACCTGTTCACGGGAGAGCTGTACCCCACCGAGATCAGGTGGGTGTTGGGAGGAGAGGCCCGGCGGAGAGCTCTCTGCCCAGACACCCAGGGCCCAGCCCGGAGAGTGCAGGCTGTGTGCTGAGTCCTCCCTCCCACAGGCAGATGGGGATGGGCTTCACCTCGGTCAACGCCCGCCTCGGGGGCTTGGCTGCGCCCCTGGTCACCACGCTCGGGGAGATCAGCCCGGTCCTGCCGCCCTTGGGTTTTGGCGCCACCTCGATTCTAGCAGGCCTGGTTGTCCTCTGCTTCCTGACCGAGACCCGCAACGTGCCCCTGGTGGAGACCATCGCTGCGATGGAGAGGAGGTGAGCGGCCGGGGCACGGCGGGTGCGAGGCCAAGCAGGCTGTGGTCACCCGGAACCAGCCGGGGAGCAGACGCAGACCTCCCTGCCTTGGTCTTCCGTGGCTTCGCTTTCGACAGGAGCGGGCCCAACGACGACGACCATAAGAGAGAAAGAAGGGGGCTGAGGGTAGCTCAGCAAAGAGCCGCGCCTGCCGCCGCCCCGAGTTCCCTATCTAGCCCCGCAAAAAGGAGAAAGAAATAGACCAAAGACCCGGAGACTCGGTTGGAAATGAAGCCTGGTAGAGAAATGGGGAGAGGAGAGAGAGGCAAGTGCAATTTGAAGCAAAGTCAGATCGTTGCAGGGTTTTGAACTGGGCCCTGAGTTTCTGAACAACAGAAAGGGAGACCCTGCTGGGGGGAAGAGAATACCAGCTCCCCAGGGTAAGTAAAGCTTCCCTCACTGATTAGGCTGGAGGAAATGCCTCTCCTGGGCCTCCTTAGAGAGGTTACTGAGCTAGGTGACAGCATTGTCCTGCACAAAAAGTGCAAGAGGGGATCTGATCTGGCTGTTCTGAGTGAGGCATTTCCTAGTCACAGCATGCTCAACGAAGACCCTTAATTTTGAAGAGCAGGGACAGGGGTGCAAGACATATCACTTTTTCCTGAACCACTTGCGAGAAAGTTGCTGGCATTCCTTCCAAGTACTTCGATGTGTATTCCTCCAAACAAGGATATTCTCTTACGTAACCACAAACCACCATCAAAATCAGAAAATCAGTATTGCCATGTGACCACTGTTTCATCTTTAGGCTTCCAGCCTGTTTCCGCAACAATGTCTGATGTCTGGATCCAGCAAAAGGATTCAGATCCCAGTCACAGAGCTTTTAGTTGTCTCATTTTCCTCAGGCTGTAGTAGGTTCTTGGTGTTCTTTGATTTTCATGACTTCCACAGTTCTACAGGGCTTTTTAATCATTGAAAGAACCAGTGCAACCAAAAGTACACCCAATATAGTGCCTCACAATACAGCAGGAGAGCACAGGCCAGCATGGTGGGGGCACAGGTGCACCTCCCAGGGTCCTCACTTTAGCCCCTGAATGGCTTGTTTCTGTATCTCAAGCCATCAAGACAAATTCTGCATCTCAGAGAAGCCAAGGCACAGGTTTGCTGATATATATATATATATATAATCTCACTGGTCATAACCAAAGCCAGTCTACATAACCAGGCAAGCCAGGTAGAAACCATAGGTGTGATTCTAACAAAAGATGTAGACAGCTGGTAAAGGCATTCCTCCAGGGGAGAATCAGGCCCTGACCACATATTATAAATTACTAGCCAGTACTGTTACCTCACCCCTGTCTTGACAGATGGTCAAGGTCATGGATCCATCTTTAGAGATGAGCTCAGATGCACCACAGCTTTGAAGATCACAGATCAGTTCTTTCCTGGGGTTCCCTTTGGTTGGGGTTTGCTGATCTTACAGGTTACCCTGTATTCATTTCAGGTAGGAGCACCTAATAGTGATGCCCTCTCCCTCCACAGATGCCCTCTGCCCAGCCACAGACTCTGACTCCTCTCCATATGGAGCTGTCCCTTATGGGAACATCCTTCTCTGCCACTCGGTTTCTGACACCCCAGGCCAGGCCACCTATATGTGTAGACATCCTCCTCATCTTGCCCCAGGCCTGATGCCTGTTCCTGGTCACACCCCTCACCTTGTCAACCCATGAACTGCTTAATCTCTGATTCTCCATACCAGGACACTGTCCTTTCTAGGCTCTGACACCTGAGGCCAGGCCACCCCTGCATGTGGATACCACCTTGTTTTACCCCTTGTCATAGTTTTGGTTTTGTTCAGGAAAAAATGGGAAGAAGAAATGCTTTGCAGATACAAACACACACACACACACACACACAAATTCAATATAATCAGTATTTGTTTATTTTTTAAAAAAAAAATTTAGTTGTAGATGAATACATTATCTTTATTTTGTTTATTTTTTTATGTGGTGCTGAGGATTGAACCCAGTGCCTCCATACCCTAGGTGAGTGCTCTACCACTGAGCCACAACCCCAACCCAGTATTTGAATATATTTTTGATGATACAGGTTGTCATTCTCGTAAAGAACTGAGGGACAATCCCCTTTCTTCTGCCATTCCCCCAAATCATGCACTTCTTTAGTCCCCTTGTCCTCACAGCTTTTCCTTGGGATTAGGCCAGGTACCACTGTGCCCACAGTAAATTAGCCACACCCAGCACCTGTTTGCATGTGAGCTTCTGCAGAAAAAATTTAAATCAGAAGTCTATTGAAGTGGAAATAGGCACAGGGCTTATTGAGCAATCAGAACACACAAATGGGCTGACGTCTCAAGGAAGCCAAGCCCTGCCCCTGGGTAGATACTGGCAGAAGCATGTCCAGATGGAGCTGCACCCCAGGAAGATTAGTGACCAAAGCCAGGAAGTCTCTGAAGAGCTCTGCAGGCTGAGGATTGTACCTGGGATTTGATTCAGGCTTTTTGAAATCTTATTTGATTATTAGCCAATGAGTTCCTGCCATGTGTCAGACACAAAGCTAAGTACGGACTGAAGAGGGAGAAAACAGATGCCATCTCTACCCTCTTGGAGCTCACAGAGCAAGGGAGACAGAGAGGGCAAATACACACAAATAAACACACACAAATACATGTGGTAGTAAGAGAGACCATGCGGTGGAGAAGGAGGAGGGGTCAGCCAGGCTGAGAAGGGAAGTATGTCCTTGGAGGAAGGAACAGCCTATGAAATCCCCCTGAGTCCCAGAGTGCCTGGCTTGCAAGGTGGGGCAGGAGGTGGTGGCAGAGCCAACCTTAGAGGACATGTTGAGAATTTAGGCTTTTAAGCTAAACTGCTTAAACTGGAGAAACTGCTGTGGGGCAGGGCTTGGAGGAAGGAATCTGTATGTCTGAGTGACAGTTTTTTGTTTTTCTTTTTTGTTATGCTGGGAATCCAACTGGAGGCATCACACAGGCGAGGCAAGGAGCTATATTTTTAAAAGAGCTTTCTGTCAGGTTGGCATTATCATTCTCAGTCCAAACAGGGTCTCAGTCTCGGCTCTAGGCATATCTGGCCATTGCTGCAGAACAGTGTTGCTCAACTTTTTTCAGGTGATTCATTAGGGTCATGACTCCTCATGTTGGAGCAAGCACAACCAAAGAACAGCTGACTGACCATGTTTTAGAAGTTCTTTCATGTAAAACTTGAACATTCACAAAGGAGGAAATGCAAATAGGAAGTGAATGGAATGAAAATATGCATCTCAGTCAGAATCAAAGAAATGCAAATTTTAAAGCTACTGGGGAAGCTATTGGGGTGCAGCTCAGTGGGTCAGCACTTGCCTGGTAAATGTGAGCCCCAGGGTTCCAGCCTCAGTACTAGAAGGAAAAGGAGAAGAAGGGGGTGTAATAGTTTTTAAATATTCAGTAAGGAAAGATTTTAAAGCCCAATGGTGATATTTAATGCAGGAGCCTGTGTGGGCAAGGGATCTTTCTGGAAACTTCTTTGACACAACTGATCATGAGCTGTAAACATTTTTGCATTCTTCTAAGTAGCAGTGACATTTCAAGGAATTTGTCCTAAGGAAATAAGCTGACATGTGATCACAGTTTATATATAAAACATATCCAGAGCTGGAGTTGTGGCTCAGTGGTGGAGTGCTTGCCTAGCATGTGTAAGGCACTGGGGTTGAGTCTCAGCACTGCATATAAAAAATATATATAAATTTCCAAAACACCCAATAACTTAAAGTTCTAGTACATCATACAGAGAGTTATGTTATAAAGAGTCTGAAGTGGTAGACTGGGGATGTGGTTCAGTGGTAGAGCACATGTCTAGCATGTGCGAGACCCTTGGTTCCATCCCCATTACTGGAAAAAAAAAAGTTTTAAATGGCATGAGCAATTGACAAGGTGACTTACACCTGTAATCCCAATGACTTGGGAGACTGAAGTAGGAGGATTGGGAGGAGGAGGCCAGCCCAGGCAACTTAGTTAGATCTTGTCTCAAAATAAAAAATAAAAAGGGCTGGAGATGCAGCTTGTGGTAGAGCGCCCCCATGTGCCATCCCCAGTACTGCAAAAAAAATGTACTGCCACGGGGATAGTTACAAATACGGATAAGCAGCATATTTATTTATATTTTCTTAATTATCTCATGAAATAGACTTGGAAGGGAGAAGAAATATGTTGACATTGTTGTAGAAATTGCCTCAACGTAAGGGTGATGGTTTATGTTTTAAAAGTTAGGGTTTTTGTTGTTGTTTGGTTTTGTTTTTGTGGTGCTGGGGATGGAACCCAGGGCCTCCTGCTTGCTAGTCAAAAGCTACCACTGAGCCACATCCCCAGAAAAAAAAAGTTTTAAAAATGACCTCCAAATTACCTCTGTGGAGAAGAATCAGCCCAAGGACAGAGAAAAAGCACTAGAAGGTTCCAATGGCAGGACTAGAAACATGGGGTAGTAGGAAGAGAGGAAGGGAGCCTGCTACGTGAAGAAATCATCATGATAAATTAAATCAAAACCAAATAGTAAACGATAATGAATTTAAACTCCTGAACCAAACGATTAGAAATAGGAGAGTTCAAAGTTAAGAATAAAAACTGGGATGAAATGGTCGGGCCACTGAAAAAGTTCTCAACACAGAACTTGCTAAAAGTAGACAAGAGAAATGGGCGAGGCAGGCAAAGGATTCAAACGAGATGACAGGAGTTTCCATTTATCTTTGAACAGAATGAAAGAAGCCCCTTCCAAGAAGGAGGCAGAAGAGAAAAGCGAGGAAATCGCCCTTCAGCAGCTGGGAACTTCTCCTCTCAAAGAAACCATCTAGGCTGCCCGGAGCCTGGCGTGGGCTGGCAACAGCTCACCCCTGTCCAGACCCGCCCTGGGGCTTCTCTTGGGGGCACCAGGGGTTGTGGTGCCGACTCCAGGCAAGGTCTACCAGAGGTCAGCATGGCCCTGGCACACAGCCACCCAGTAATTGGCTTTACATATATACAGGGACTCCACTTCCCAAGGACCAAAAGAGAGATTGTTCTCTGTAGCAATAAAAGACCTATTTTCCTTTGCCATTCCCAAATCTGCCCCTTCTGTGTCTCTGTTTACTATGGTCCTACCTGAGAATGCAGTGTTTATTGCAGAGTTAGTGTGACATTCCTGTCACGGGGTTGTTCCTGGAATAGCCCCGCGTAACCCAGAGAATTGTCCAGAACTCTGCTCCACTCATTTGGAGAAACACTCCCGCCCACCTGATGGGATTACTACGGCGATGTCTCCACGGCAGACTTGGATCTTCATGCTACCTTTGTGTCCCCAAGAGCCCTTCCCAGTGTGCCCTGCAGATGGCACAATGAATAGTGGAGTAAATGTTGAAGCAGACTCCGCTGCTCCTCTGCATCCCTAGCAATACCACCCTGCAGTCATGGGATCTGGTTCTTCTTACAGAGGGTAGAATCCTGGGTATGGCCAGCATCCTCCTGACCTCAGATCCATTTCCGGTCCATATGTTGGACGGGTGTCTGTATCCCCGGCCTTGACCTTCACTGGAATTCAGAAGAGCTTCAAAGGAGATTCCTATCTTGGCCCATAGGGTGGCCTGGGCCAAAATTTCTTGTCTTATCCTTTCCTCCTGGAATTGCCATAGGATCAAATGGGATCAGTGTTCAGACTCCCACAGCCCAAGGACATACACAGTGTAGGAAAGAAGCAGGAATGCCACAGTTTGGGCAAGAGCCATTACAACCCGCTACTTCACCAGGATCAGTCCCTCAGCAAGTTAGATCTTCTGTTTGTGTGTGTGTGTGTGTGTGTGTGTGTGTGGTGCTGGGGATTGAACCCAGGGCCTTGTGCATGCAAGGCAAGCACTCTACCAACTGAGCTATATCCCCAGCCCAGCAGGTTAGATCTTGCAAGAGAATTTGAATAAGACTCCCCACCAAATTGTCCCAAGCCCCTGGCACTGATGTACCAAATCCTCACTCCCTCCCATGGATCTAACCTCCTCTGGAAATGTCAGGGAACATCTGTCAATAATCAGTGTCTCAGTTTTCCTATTTGAGTTGTTCTTAACTTTGAGCAAATCAGTAAATTAAAAGAGGCAGAGGGCTGCTCTCCCTGGCCATAGTGTGGGATTCACCTCAGGGATCACCCCTTCCGGACAGCTGTCCCTCCCCTGCCTGCCTCTGGGTTCCCATCATGCCCTCTGAACAGTCTCCTGGATGCTCTATTCCTACTTTGTTGTAATGGACCCATTTACATGTGGCTCCTCAAGGCAGGAAATAATCTTTGCTTGACCTGCACACAGTAGGTGCTCAGTTCACGTTGCAGTAGCAGATGTAACAGTCATGAGTTGGGGGAGACTTGTAACTGCCAAATACTGAGGGAGGAGACAGAAAAACTAGACAGAAGCCCAGGTAGCAGGATCTGCTCGTGTTTAAAACAAGTCTGTTGCCAGGTACAGTGGTGCACACCTGTCATCCTAGCTACCTAGGAGCTGAGGCAGGGGGATCGCGAGTTGGAGGCCAGCCTGGGCAACTTACTAAGACCCTATCCCCAAAATACAAAAAGTGCTGAGGTTGCAGCTCAGTGGTAGAGTGTCCCTGGGTTCAATCCCAATTGCAAAGAAAGAAAGAATGGAAGGAAGGAATGAATGAATGAAGGAAGGAAGGAAGGAAGGAAGGAAATCTGTCATAAACACCACTTTATTTTTACTTGTAAAGACATCTGGAAGAGGGCTGGGGTTGTGGCTTAGCAGTAGAGCACTCGCCTAGCACGTGCAAGGCCCTGGGTTCAATCCTCAGCACCACATAAAAATAAACAAATAAATAAAATAAAGGTATTAAAAAAAAGACATCTGGAAGAGTAGTTCTCAATCCTGGAATCACCTGTGAGCTTTTAAAGCAATCCCACTCTTTGGGATTCTGATATTCTTTGCTGGGGCTGGGACTCAGGATGAGAAGCCCTGGTCTAGAAACAGCTTTCCTAACCAGCGAGAGGAGGCAACAGCCCAGCAGATAAGGATAACTATAACATGACTGAAACTCCTAGTTAATGGGTCAGTTACTGTGAGGTTAGAAAGCAAATTTAATTTCTGTGTTAGCCTGTCTTTTGTTACTGGGACCAAAATACCTAATAAGGACAACTAGGAGGAAAAGAGTTTATTTTGACTCATGGTATCAGAGGTTTAGTCCCTGGTGGGCAGGCTCCATTGCTCTGAGCCCAAGGTGAGACAGAACATCCGGACAGGCATGGCGAGGAGCTCTGCTCAGTTCATGGCAGCCAGGAAGCAGAGAGGGAGGGCAAGGGACTGCAGAAGGGGTGAACCCTGTCTGGGCATGCCCCCAGGGACACATGCACCTCATCAAGCCATGCCCCATCTGCCTACAGTCACCACACAGTCACCACAGTCAGACTAGGACGGACGGATCAGGTCACGATTCTTACAATCTCATCATTTCACCTGCAGACATTTCTGTATTAACACAGGAACGTTGGGGGAGATACCTCATTTTCAAACCAGAGCAGTTTTCTAGGTTGGGGTGATAACGCAGCTCTAAGGGAACGAATGCAGTCTCCTTTAACAAATAATCTGCCCACAACGTTTCCTACGACAAGCATAAATGGTCTCAGGGTTAGAGGTTGCAGGCCATGGGATAAAACCATAAAGCCTTTGACTACTCTTGTCCTTCTTAGCAAAAAACACAGGCCAGAAAGCACCAGTGATGACTTTCTCACAGCTCCGTGTGTGAGAACAGGACTCCGCTCAGCTGTTGGTCCTTACAGTAACCTGACAGTAACTGGCAGATGGCTTCCAGAATTCTTTACTTTTACATAAGAAGGCCCTGAGAGGCTACTGTGAGTTGTCTTTAAAAGCCCTTGTGACCATAATCTTCTAGGCATCTCTAAGTTTCTGAGAACGATCGGGCCTGGTGGCTGTAGGGAGCGGGCTCACCACGGTGACTGGTGTGTTCCGATATATCAATGATTGCCCGGGTCTGGTTCATGAGCAGTTCAGCTAAAATTCAAAGCTGATGGCGTCCTGGGTCATTGCTGCTCGAGGCCCCAAAGAAGTGGCCCACAACCACGCACGGGAAAGTGTACTCCATTTCACGTGGGCTGTGGAGCTTTGCCCTGGAAAACATTGCCCAGAATACACCAGACCTGTGCTGCCTGGTGTGAGGCGCCATCAAGAGATGGACTCTAAAGGAGAAACTGAAAACTGAACGCTAGGGCTCTGCACCCCGCTTTGAGCTTTAAATGCAGCAAGTGACTCCACTTAAGTGGGTTGTTAATAATGAGGTTGGGGAGGCGCAAGGAGGCCCAGACAGGCTGTCAGAGTCCAACCACATCGTCAACCCTTGTCACTGTCTCTTTTTTTCTTCCCATGCCCACCCTGGAATCCTCGGCTGCTGGACTTTGCAAGTAGCAGACGGCGGGGGAGGCAGTGGAGGACCTGAACCTGGTGCTTCTGTGGCTGTGGCCCTGCTTGCTGGACCTGGGAGATTACGGGTATTGAGGATGATGATCATGACATTTGACTGCCCCTGAGGTGAACCTGGCGCGGTCCATGCTTCAGGCAGGGAAGATGCTTCAGACTGCTGAGCCTCCTAGGGACAAGACTGGCAGACAGGGTGGACAAGACATGGGGAAAAGGCGCAGCCGTGGGGTCAGGAACTGGCCATTGGCATCCTGGGAGAAGGGACCCCTCTCCTCTCTCAGGTCTTGTCCACAGGGCACCTGGTGAGTGTGACAGACCACCGGCACCCTCATCCTGACCGTGAACCAGTGAAGACTCTTCATCAGAAACTGCCCAGCGGCCAGTTTTTGGTGTGGCCCACTTTTGTCATAGACTTGTGGTCTACTAGAAGTGAGCTCAGTGGCAGGGTGGCCTCCCTACGAGATGACAGCACAAGGTTCACGTTCAAGACGTAGGTTCTGTCCCTTTGGTGTCACCCTACTGTTGTTGGGTTTTGTCTTTTTCTACAGGCTGATTGTTCTCAACACTGCAGCTCAGGTCGTGATGGACAGTCACAATGCCTGGACTCCCATCAGGTCAGTCAGGGTGGGGGACATGTATGGATTCAGCTTGACCTGACGCAGCCATCTGGAATTGCAGCCACCATGACGGACCCTGTTTTCTGGTCAACACAGGAATGTGCCTGATGTCTTGGGTGTTGGCTTGGGGTAAAACAGGTACATTCCAACTTGGATGAAGTCACTTTTGTCCTGATTAATGTATAAGCCCTGTCCCTCTGACCCAAATCACAGGAATCCACCCGTCTTGCTGCCACCCATGGCATTCTGACACAAATGGCATTCTGTGTCATCCTGGATCTGTCTCTTTCTTCAGTCTTTTGGCATCTTGAAGTTGGTTCTTTTACACTGGATTTTCCCAGAACAGTGTGCACGGCTGCTGACACCTCTTGTCGCATGGTTTGATAATAGCCTCACTGGCTTGGCTCTGGAGAGGGAACCCATCTGCATGGGCTTGATCCGCCTCCTAGAAGTCAGTTATGGCCATTATCACCTGATGTTATCTAGATTTGGTGCAAGTTCCTATCAGTATGAGTGACCAGGGCACTGAGGGGGTAGCTGAGACCCCTCAGCTGGAAACAGGAAAACATCGGGGGATGGGGCTTTAGGGGATGTGTCCCCATGGCACCTGGTGACCTGGCATGTATCCACACAGGCCACATGGGCCACGTAGGTGAAGTCTTGAGCCACAGCTCATCTGAGCCTTGGTAGGACCCTGCTATGTCCCTGGGACAACCTCCACAGGAAGGGAAGCCCATGGCGACTGCGGGCCGGCTCCCACTCACCCCCCTTTCTCCCCAGAGGCTGTCCAGAGCGGGTTGCTCACTGGCTCTGGGTTCTGATGAAGCCTGAGGCTTTCTGCCCCCTCCTCAGGATGGATTATGAAGGTGCTCAGCTGCATCTAGAGTGGGCTTCTCTTCTGTGATCATCAGGCCCCCTCCCTTTTTGGTATGTGGAGCAAGGACCTCAGAAGGCTGGGTCTTTGGCTTCTTCTTCTTCTTCTTCTTCTTCTTTTTTGTTCCCCTATGTAGATAATAAACCCTAAAC